GACTGAAGGCCCCGGGCAAAAGCAATTCCCATGCCGCAAGAAGGCCTCGCACTAGCCGGCGCAGCCGCTTTCATCACGGAACTGCCACAAACCCGCTCAGGAACACCCTACATCATCGGCCAGGCTCGGGAAGTGTTCGTCTTTGAACCCTTGGATCCTCCAATATCATATCCTCTCACCTATTGATTTCTTCAGGTTGGCATTTGTCCTCTTGTTTGGCTTTTTGCAGGCGCCTCACGTCTTGCAGACACCATGCATGGCGTCGCGGCCCTTGCTGGTGCTACACTGGACAAAGAGGCTTTCAACGGCTTCCTAAGGTATCCCGTGTTCTATGGGTTTATGCCGGCGCCGATGCCTTTGAGAATGTACTCTCTAGTTGACACCAAAAGCACGGAACCTTTCTGCCTTTGCCTTTGTTTTTCTGGTGTGAGGAGCATGAGCATGAGGCCGTTTGCATGGCCTTGCAATGATCCGCGCAGAGCTTGGTAGTAAGAACTGCCACCACTTCAAGCACTGGCATGTGCACTATTGACTATTGTACTGGAGATTTGCTTTAAGTTGCTTCAACCATGTAGAAGAAACTCATATCAAAAGGGTGCTCACTTGGGGATTGACCTATATATCATATATCTGTAACTAATTCTAATTATGGACAATTATGGAGGTTTGTTGGTAACTGTTTTTGTTGCGAACTGATGTTGTTGTACACGAGCACTTTGCTTGGCTTTTTCACTTTTCACACTGTAAGGCCGCAAGGCTGGCCGAATCAGTAGGCGAAGAAGAGGCCACAAAGCTGGGAGGTTTTTAGCCGGCTTTTGTGGTCGGTAGAATGTGTGTCTTTCAGAAGGTGGGACAGCCATTTTGTTGTGTTCGCTCTTGGCCCATGGCAGGCGGAGATCGTTTCGCTGTTTCACCAGAATGCCAAGGAGTGAGTTAATTCAATGCCCCTTGGTCGAAGAAACTAACTGAATTGTGACAAACAGTTAGGAGAAAGTGCAAGAGAAGCAGGCATCATTGTCGAAGAGAACTCACAGACACCACCTGTGAGATTGCCTTTGTTAAGGTTTGATGATTTGGTCATGGCCTTGAGTTTTTGGCGGTATCTTGGCCACATCGGAAGCTGTTATCAATCTCGCTCACTGCTGTTTGCCGTTTGACAACTTTTGTTTTTTAGCTGACCAGGCACTGTTTGGTCAGTGTTTGGAAATTCGCCACAGGTGACCTCACTATTTTCAATTCGAGATACTGCGTTGCAGAGAAAGGTGGTGATGAGATTGGGTGAGACTGCTCCAAGGTCAATGGCCACATTTGCTGCGGCAAACCCGTGGACCAGTGACAGCGGGTGTGATTGATTCGGAGCTTCTGCGGGCGAAAATCCTAGCTTGAGGAAAGCTATCTCGTTTTTGGCTTCCTGGGACCACACTGAGCAAGCCGCTAGAGGTGCAGTATAATCTGGAGTGATGCAAGGGCAATCTGGAATACAACGATCAAAGTTGTTCCAGCAGAAAAGATTAAAAGCATAGTGTTGAAATAATAATGTAATCAATAGTGCAAATAGAATTATTTTGGCATCAATGCTTGCGAGCCCTTCATTGTCCATGATGAAGAAGCTGCACATATCTGTTAGAATTTGTTCCCTTGCGCAGCACTGACTTGCTGCTAGCGTGTGAACACATGCTGCTCCAGTTTACCCGGCGTGTGAACACATGCCAAGAAGGCTGCTCTAAGTCTGGGAGATATCCATATGCCTCAAGTGCTGACCCTTCGACGCTCTTCAACCCCTTTCGAAACTACTAAGAGGATGTGAGAGGACGTGCTCTCCCATGACCCTCGGCGTGTGAACACATGCGGGTCCCCAGGTAGAAGTCCAAATGGGCCTGGCCCATAATATGTTCAGTCGACAGCAGGGCCCTGTATGTCATGCAGCAAGAATTGGACACCCGAATCTACGCGAATGGAGTTCAACATCGCTACTTCAAAGGGCTTTGTGTCTCGGAGGCTCTGATGCAGAGACTGTGCGTTTCGATTATGTTTGGAGTTGCTATCCACCACTCCATTCGTTGGGCGCAGAAAATCTGAATCGAAGCCCAACAAACTCTAGAGTTTAGCAGCACAGTGACAGAGCAAGTGCAAGAATTGAAGCCGGGGAGGCAGTCAACCCCAACTACAGGCGCACTACCGAAATGCACAGTCTACGGATTCACCCGAAGGCCGAATGGTTTGCTCTTGGCCTTTGGCAGAGTGGGCCTTAGTTGGCCGTCCGGTGCTGAAACAACATCATGTTTTTGAGTTTGAGCAGTTGAAACATAGATGGTCCCATTTAGTTTCCCAGGCAAAGCAATAATAAAGCAGTCTCGACTCAACAATGAACAGTGATCGACTTAGTCCACTGGATTGTCTCTGTTTCAGTTCTGGCGATCGTGTTTAGACATTGTGCCAAATTTTAACCTGTCTTCGCTGTCCATGAGGGCCCAGTATATAGCTCATGTACAACGAAGCTGACGTTTCATATGCCTCTTTGCATGGTCAGCTCAGGGGTTCCATCATTTGAGGCAAAAGGTATAGCCAGTTCCAAGTCCTGAAAGATGGTTCCGATCCGATTCAATTGTGCATCTTCACAACTGATTTCACTCGGGGAGCAGGAGGTTGGCTGTGCTGGGAGGATTGATTTCCAGGAGCTGTGCCAGGGCCAAAGCCGAGCGCCACTGGTGTCGCGATTGGTGATTCTGCGGTTAATTCAGTTTGGAAACGCTTCTTCGAAGAGAGACTAGATTGACTAGATGCTCTTGCGGATAGGCTCAGGGCCGGGCCAACCAAAGTCTCAGTTGCACCAAGAGCGCTTTGACCCGAAGGCACAGCCCAAACTCATCACATCATCTTGTCGCCGAGCAGCAAATCCAGCGATTGTCAGCTTGATTGACTGCCATTCAATCCAGTTGCTCAAACAAAAGTAATTCAATTACTATACTGTAACGGGTGCAACGCTGGACAAAGGTCGTTTTGGCGGCAACAGCTTAATGTGTTCAATGCTGCAATGCGTTTGAAATATTGATTCGATCATATTTGGAGAATTCCTTAAGTGACACATGAGGATATTGGCAACGCCAAGAATTTCCCTGCCACTGCTGGATTGTTTCATAGTTGATGTAGAAAAAGCTGGTGTCTTGATGGTTGGTGGCTGCAACTCGGGTGTTGGAAACACTCCATGCCGTGGGATGCAGAGAGTCTTGGCAAGTGAAGTCGTCTCCTTTACTTTCCCCAGATTGTTTCGCAATCCATGTGAGAAGATGTTTTTAAAACTAACATTGTTTCCTTGGAAATCTTCGTAGGTCGTGAACACTTCTGTTTGGAACAAACATGTTTGCGCTGATGACTTCAGTGCAGGCTTTCCGGCTTTTCCGGAAAGTAAGGCCAAAAGGCCAAAGCAGAAGATCAGAGAGCTGAACCCCAAGGCAGTTCAGATTTCGGGACCTTGCAAGCTCACAGATACCCGCAAAGAATTCTTTTCTGAGTAGATTTCAGGAGGACCATTTCGAGTCACTCAAACATTGTTATGATTCGTCTTCACCGGCTCTGCTGTTCTTATTGGCCGGCATCGGTACAGACCCACTTTCAGATGCCGTGCTACGAGTGGACCTGCGTGCCAAACAAAGCAAATTTCTACACTGTCAGCCAGAGTATTCTTTCCTGCACTGATCGTAGCATTTTGCTTTTGGCACACGGGCAGGAGCAAAGTCATTCTTTGCATTGGAACATTGAAGATGGTGTAGAAGGGGTGTAGTGATCTTCTTTGTTCCACCTGGCTTAAGGTCCTGGCTACTCTCCTTAATTATCCTAGCCGGATCAGTCACAAAACTTTCACAGGACTTGCGAGAGCTCTAGTTTGGTTAGCCGGCCCACCACTGTTCTTGCAAGCCAAGAATCCTGAATCATCCTCAATCCACTTTTGGCTTTGATACTGCTTTGTTGAAATGGGACTCCCCTGCTGTGGCGCTGGTTGAGGACGCTGTCAAATTCTCAAGGCAACGGTGGCCTTTCTGAGAGCAATATTGGAGCCAGGACCTTGTGGCTAGCTGCTGCAGCTGTACAGTTTCTGCCGATGAGTCAGCTAGATTTGCGTGGCATTGATACACTTGCCGCTGACATCCATGTGAAAAAGACCCTTGTTCACTCGGCAAAGAGCTTGTCTAGCATTGTCAAACTAAAATGTGACTGGGGTGGCTAGCTGGCAAGTGTGTCATGGGAATTTAATAGCTTGGATGCCTGCCCTTGCCCAAGCTGCTCGGTCGCACAATACTTTTCAATAATTTCGGCCGTGCACCAGCTGATTAAAAGACAACAGTGAATAACAGGGACCCCAAATTGCAACCTTTGAACAGCAGGACGTCAGATTCTGGGTGCCTTTGGATTTGGGGTGTTGTATGATTTAGTTGAGCGGCCGCCTGGGTTCCGGCTTGCAGGCCATGATCTGAAATTGGGGCCTTTACTTCAGGAAAAGAAGCGAAATGCATTTTTAATATCCCGGTGGACTGTAGAGGTAGTAGCTAGGCAGCTAGTAGAAGCCAGGTAGCTACTACCTACAAGTGGCTACTACTGACAGGACGCAGGATAGCTCACGCTTCTTCAAAAAAGTTTCCCCCGCCGCCCTAAAGGCGGCGGGGGAAGCTTCCTTGAAGAAGCGCTCGCACTAATGATTTGGTTTCTAGAGTTTTAGGACACACTTAACTTAACCTTAAAAGTACGAAAAGTAGTTCTTCTGCATTTGCAAGTCATCCATGAATCGCTCAAAATCGCTTGACCCGACTGCAAAGAGAGACGGCCAGTTCCCCACCATGTTCGTGTTCGCCAAGAGCTTTCTCCCAGTCATGTTCACTCAATCCCTTTGATTCCTTTTCATGTTTTTTGCATTACACAGGCGATGCCATAGGCATCGAGAAGCTGATCCCAAGCGTAATTGTGCTGTCAGGGTCCACTCGGTGCTTGCTATTCTTTCTTTCTGGCAAGTTTGGCCCTTTTCCTCGGGGCGAAACCCGGGTGCCCCCGGCCCAAACTGCGCCTGGGACGGCAACTAAGGCATTGTGATAGCTAACTCCATTTCACAAGTACAATCATGTACAATCTAAATCTAGAGAGGACAATCTTGCATCGTGTTGGCTGACTCCCAACAGCGCGCCTAGGAGAGCGAACATTCCCGTCACTGCCTCAAAAGCAGCATGTGCAGTTAAGATGTCAACACAAACATTCTCGGCACTTTCGGTGGGGCGTTTCGACTTTCAACCCATTCGGCATGCTTGAGGTTTAGACTATGTATGGTGTGGCTGGCTGGTTGCACCCGCGTAGTGTGGTTGTTTCGAAGTCTCCACATCTCCCTTGATGGCAGTGGCAGGTTACAATGCTCAGCAGGCCCTTCTGCAGCTTTTGAGACGTGTTACTGCGAAGAAAACACATTGCATGCACTTGCGAATGAATCTGCGAACTCGAGAAGGGTCCGACTGACTTTAAAGGCCTACGGCAGCCTTCCTGGCCCATTGAAGCCAAGCTCTCAGAGCCACCAAGCAGCTTCCAGTATTCAACAGCATGGGATTGGCACTTTTTGTGGGATTGGTGATTTGGCACTTTGAGCTCCTCTCTGGACTGGACTAATCCATAGTGCTCCACAGTGCCAATTGGATTCCGAGGAAGAACGAACCGAAGGTTACACTCCCCTTCCAGGCTGTTTTGGCCTCAGCCACTTCCGCTTTCATAGAGGCCTCATTTTAGCGGCCTGGCTTGGCTCCACAGAGGTCTTTTTGAGCTGGCTCATCCCGACCGCAGTCTTTGCCGTGGACACTGCCTGAGGAAACCAAAGAAATGTGAAATGGAGATTAGCGCCGACACATTCGCCTGAAGGGGTTCCATGGGTTTGCGTTGGTTGCCCTTTGGGAGGTTTTGACTTTGACCACCTGCACTTGGGATTTGTCCGTTCTGAGTCATGTCGCTTCGAGAGAGGGCGCAAGGAAAGGTGATTCATGTCCAAGCCAACACCCCAGATGATGCGCAGCCGAATGAGCAGGACTCTAGAGGGTTTACTGTAATCACGCTATTTTTTCCACTCGCCTGAAATTGAACAAGTTTCAGAGGGTCCAACTTATATCCAACAATGCATGCACTATGTTTTATCTCCATATATTTCCCATCTCATATATATTAATATAATATAATATAACATAATATACTATAATATAGTATAATATAAAATAATATAAAATAATATAATATATATACTTACATTCATCCATTGCATGGTATTTGTCACCTCTAGGTCTGTACAGTTTTCAGGGGGGTCGAACTTATATCCAACAATGTCTGCACATGTTTCTTTTCCGTATGCTTCTTCATTCATCATGGTACTTGTCATCTCTGGGTCTCTAGGTCGCAAAATGACTGATTAGAAGAAAGTCTAGAATACGCGTGACGGATATAAGGACCAGAGGGGAACGGTGCTAAAATTGCAGGCATGGTTGGATATTAGTTAGACCCCATGAGGCATTTACAATTTCAAGGGGGTCGAAGAGCCTTGCAATATGCATGATGATCTAGAGATGACAAGTACCATACAGTAGATTGATCTCATTGACGTCTCATTATTGCATCATTTGCATTGCCAGGTCCACCAACCATTCCTTTCAACAGCTTGAATCAGTTGTCACTGCAAGCATCCACTTCATCTCCAGTCCCACATCATATGGCACACCACCTCCACATCAAATGTTGCAAAACCTTCCATTTACACACCTCATGATGCAGGATATGCATAAACGAGAAGGCCTCCCCTCAGTGAACGCGCCCCACCACACATAATCATGTTCCTCAGCACCTTCGGCGCGGGCGGATTTCAGAGTACTCTCTTCTTTGAGTCTGCCATAGTTAGCTTACGAACAGGAGTTTGTATTCAGGGGTGAGACACATGCTTCAGGTGTCAGGAGCAGCGCTGGCTACTTAGACATTTGGACTTCTTATTTGTTCGATACGACCAAAGACAGAGCAGGTCTTGGCTTGGCATGATCATCATTTCGCTAGTGCTTTTGCACCCAAAGCTTTGTTGGCATCACTTTCTAATGGTTTTGATTTCTTCCTGATTGATTGCTCTTTCTGCCTTATTTAGTCTTTCTTCTAGACCATTGTTTCTCTTTTCTTCTGGACGCATCTGGGGTCTCAGCTCTCTAGGTCATCAAGCTTAGTGACCTACTACCCTTTCCTGATCTACGGCATCTTGGTCTGGGAGCTTGGAACAATTGCAAACTAGGGTCACCGCCAAGTGTCGTGTGGTGTCAGAGCAATGTTGAATTCGAAGATCCGGGCTACACTGAAGTAGTTTCATATCTGCAAGCGAGCAGGCCCCAGCCATGACGTACTTAGTTCTTTCATGGGACTCACAGGACTCAGAGTGTTGAGTCTGGTTTGGTCGAGGGCGTGGTTGATGATTCGTTGATTCTTAACCCGCCCGCGAGGGACAAACCCATCTCACCTAGTCATGGGGTTCAGGCATGTTTCAAGACCAGGCAACCTCCGAATAGTAGGTGTTTTGTGTGCACTGCTCACATTTTCCACGTTTCTTCGTCCTTCATATCTTCGTCCTTCATAGCCTTTGAGGCTAGAGGCCAAAAGCAGCGCCCATAAAATGTCTCAACTTCAGGCTGTGGTGACAGCTGGCTCCTTGCTGACACTGCACATTGTCCTGATTGTGCTGAGAAGGCGCCATTGGGAAGGGAATCAATTGCTGCAGGCTGTGGGTACGTCAATGCTTCTGGTTCGCTCATGATTAAGAGGCTTACGCCTGACAGCCGGGCGCCGGCCAAGCAGGGCGAGGGTTGGTTTTCAGGGGTTTCGCTTGGAGGGAAGGAAAAATCCAAAAAAGGTGTCGCGGACGATGTTTGTGAGCATAAATTGCGTAACATATCTCCAACATAGGCCTAAGATAGCCAACATACTCCCAACAAATGCTCTACATACCTTCCAAGATGGCGCAACATAGGGATAACATAGGGCAACATGGGGCCAACATACGCCAACGTACGCCACAGTTCCACGGTAGCATCCTTCTCGAGAAGGGGGCTGACCGCCCGGGCGTATGCCTGGTATACGCCGAAGTTGGGAGAGCCGTCTTGCACATGTCCTGCCGCGCCTCTCTCTCTCTCTCTCGCCTATGTTGGCCTTGGTGGGGCCTATATGGAGCAAAGTGAAGCTATCTGGTGCGCATCTTCGCCCTAGGTTGAGCCAAGTTGGGCCCATGTGGTCTATGCTGGGCGCATCTTGGGCCCATGTTGAGCCTATGTTGGGCCTAGGTTGGCCTATGTTAGGCCTATGTTGGCCTATGTTGGCCCTATGTTGAGCAATCTTGGAGGCTATGTTGGGCATATGTTGGCTATCTTGGGCCTATTTTGGGGAAATGTGAGGCAACTTATGTTCCCAGCACCCACGAAATGTCGATTAAGCCTGTCCGCGCGGCACGCATAACCGACACCACCGGCGCCCTGTTAGGCCAGAGTCGTGTCCGCCGAAGGCCACGAAACACTGTAAAAAACGATGTTCTTGAACATTTTTTGAACAGCCTGCGCAAGATACATATAAATCTGTCGACACGGGGTCGACACGGGGTCGACACGGGGTCGGGCGGAGGTATCCCCGCGGTCCAACAGAAGGGTCGGCGGCAGGGGCGGCGAGCGTATATAACCTTCGGTTACCAACCGAAGGCCTCCGGCAAGGACACGGGCCCGTGGCCGGCGCCCGGATTGCGCTTGTTTGTGCTGCCGGCGACATTAGGAACCCCATGGTATTTGTTTTTCTTTTGAAGTTTCGACCACCATCACTTGTCGTTCTGGTCGGGTGGTGGGTGTTGGGGGGTAATAACGCACATGTTTGCACTGTGCACATGAGGCCGCAGATTATTTTGTTGCCGAAGCCGTTCAGCTTTAAGATGAACGAGGGATTGGAACTTGGGTGGCGTTTGGTTTCGATGTCCCTGGTCTTGTTGCTGCTCTCCAAGAAAGATCATTTCGATTTTCCTGGTCCCTTGAAACCGTTTTGTACCATTCATCCTGGTTACTTGGATTGTTTATTGAAGGTAGGAACTTCTGTGCAGGCTGAATGCTTAGGAGGCGTGTGCCTCAACAAAGTTTTGGACAACATCAGTTTCCACTGGACTTGTGTCAATGCTTGCAGCATGTTCACGGGATGTTTCAGTCCTGGTTGACTGACTGTTTGCGAAGACCCACAAAAAATCACTGCTGCACTTTGGATTCTTTCAAAGCACTTTTGATAGCCGCCATGGACAATGGGTGAGGGAATGCGGGCAGGTCATGCAGGATGCACTGATGGCAATGTGGTTGTGTTGGCAGACAGTCTTATATTTCCCCACCTACCAGGTGAGGGTCTTTAGATTTTAAGAAGGACTACTCCTCCGCTTCCTCTTCCTTCTGCTGCTCCTCCTCGTCCTCGTCGTCGTCGACGTGGTGGTGTCACAGCCAGCTCCAGCATGCTGTAGAGGGTGCAAAAGGGCAGTCAAGGCATGCCGCAAGCTGATTATCAGACAATGGAGACCTCACAAAGACGAACCTAGTCAACTCCCACCATAAAAGGCTGCCAAAAAGACGCAGAGCCAACGTAATTAGGAACCAAAATGCCGCAACCATCCAGGTGAAAGTCGTACGAAGAGAGCTGTGGCACCACATACCTCCACGTCGCCATAGCTGGTGAGCCCTCATCTTCAGGCGCTCCAATTGGAGGGCCAAGAAAGGGGTGCGGTGCTGACCTCTAGTTCCACATCCAGCCTGTGCGCCATAGAGAGTGCAAGGTCAGGCGGGCCTGTGCGCTATAGAGAGCACCAGGTCAGGCTGGGCCCGCGCAGGCCTGCGGGCCTTACTGAGTACCAGTCCTTTTGGGTGCACGCGGGCTTGCGCACCCTAGACAGAGTGACAGGAAGGTTAACCATCAGAAGATGTGCCAGTTAGAATTGCAGCAGGTTTGCCAGATAGAGTGCCAGAAGATATGCCAGTTAAAATTCCAGAAGATATGCCAGAAGAATGCCAGACAGGGTGTCGGAAAAATGCCAGCAGAAATGCCAGAAAGTATGCCTGATAGAATGCCAGAAGATCCGAGAAAATGTCATAAAATATGCCAGGTAGAATGCTAGTAAACAGCCACTTAGAATGATAAAATGACGGAGAGGATGCCAGCCGCAAGCTTGTTTGTTACGTCGGAGTCTACCTAGTGACTTCTGCGGAAACTGCCCGACTGAGCACAAATTATGGAGATGTAAACCCCGAAGCTAACGGAAACACGTTTTTGAGATTTTTTGAGTGTATTGGCAGGTACTTCTCTGGAAAGTCGCCTTGACCTTGGAAAACAAGGTAGCTACCGTAGAACTCTTTGTCTTTCTGGCATTCGACACCTTTCCAGGTTGCTTTTGTGGATGACTTGATGTTTGTCCTTACTAAGGAAGGTCTTCCCATTCTGGTATGCTTTTCTAGCTTGAACCCCGGCCTTTGCACCTCACCTTCCTCGTATGTCGTTCTAGCCGAGCATTCCTGCGCTGAGGGGGTTGCACTGACCAGCGCAGTGGTCGCTTCACTTTTGTTTGCTCACATGACCCTTGGACTTCACTCGGTAGGCTGCAACACAAACGTGCCATTTAAACCAAGAGGCTTGGAAACTGGAGATGCACTCAGAGAACACCTCATCTAAATCGTGCAGACTTCGATATCGATACCTCCCAAATTTTCCAGTGAAGGACATGTTTTTCCTTCCCCAGATGATCCCGTACAAGCTTGCGTCATGATGGTTATTTCTTCAGAGTAAGCGGCAATCAGTGAGGATGAACCTGTTAGACCAAAAGGGATCATCATGAATGATCACTCCAATCCTCAAATCAATTCACAGACTCGGAGGTGTACATCCCGTTGGACCCTCAACTGCGCACAAGTGACAGCTCAGGAACTACATGAAGAATGAGATAGCGTAGTGCACCAAGTTTCTTGGGCCCCTTGTTCCATCCACCACACACTTCAAGTGAATTCCAAGTTTTGTGAATCAAAGCTTGCCTCTCACGTGACGCAGCCGCAGTATTAAGGTCGGACACCTTAAAAAGGCTTGCCACGGCAACCAATGTAGCTTGGAGCCCAGGCAAGATAGACGTGTGTGACGCAGAACCAGATAACTAGGGTTACTGTCCACCATTTGAAATCTGTTGAAAAACAAATAAAATTATCCCGGCAAGAGACCCCAAACAGTGTGTGTGAGATCTGTAACCAGAAAGTCTAGAGATCTAGACGCATTGTGGTCCAGAGAGGCGATGGTGGTGATGAAGTGAAGGTGGGTGTGAGTGAGTGTGGGCGAGAGGGAGTGTGAGTGTGAGTGAGAGTGGGAGAGTGAGTGTGAGTGCGAGTGAGAGTGAGTGTGGGTGAGAGTGAGAGTGAGTGTGAGTGTAAGTGAGCGTGAGTGAGAGTGAAAGTGGGTGTGAGTGTGTGTGTGTGGGTGAGAGTGAGAGTGTGTGTGAGTGAGAGTGGGAGAGCGAGTGTGAGTGAGTGCGATTGTGAGTGAGAGTGAGAGTGAGGGTGAGTGAGCGTGAGTGAGAGTGAAGGTGGGTGTTAGTGAGTGTGGGTGAGAGTGAGAGTGTGTGCGAGTGAGAGTGGGAGAGTGAGTGTGAGTGAGTGCGAGTGTGAATGAGAGTGTGGGTGAGAGTGAGTGTGAGTGAGA